ATGACAAAGAAACAAAAGGAGTACAACTAGTTTCAGTACAGCTCCGGACTGGGTTTCACTCGCGTGCACAAGCTCTGCCGAAGCGGTCGTTGGCTTGACCTACCGCTACCTACCGTCTTTGACACTAGAGACTACGAACGCATTTGCGCTGTCTGCCTACGGAAGTCGATGAAAGATGCAAGGCATCCCACACCAACTGTTGAATGCTTGACTCGGGCAAGCGGACCCGGCACAAGAGGTAAGAAGAGCAGAAGCTTCACACAAGTGATGCAAAAGTAAGCTGACTCGAAGCAAGGCGCTGAGAGAGGCTGACGATTCATGCGGGATCATGCAAGCACAATTTGATAATCAAGAAAGTGTTTGCCCTGTACGCAAAACAGCCGAAGAAAGCCTACAACCAACGACTAAAAGTATTAGAACCTCCTAATTAAGGTCCAGCAGTGGCGGAATGCATCATCGCCATCACACGTGTCAGCAGTGCACTCAAAGTGCACACATTCTCGGGTTTGCCAAAATGGCATGCGTCACAAGTATTGATGGTGCAAAATGCACCATATGCACATTCAAGAAAGCCATACAAGTATATGCTCAAGATCATCGGCACCTGAAGTTAACAGAAGGGTCCAGGACCCAGCAACATGAGCATCCAAGCTATAATACAGGTGGATATATACAAGATGCCCCATGGTATCAACACGCCGAGTGTTGACACCAAGAAAGCATCGCATCAAGAGCATTTCAAGTGGCCATCAAGAGAGGCTTTGCACATACATCATGCACCAGGATTGCATTTCTTGCATGCACGGAGTCCGCGGTTCTGTGCTTCGTGGCGCTCGTACGCCTTCACACGATCGCACCCATCAAGCTTAAAGCACCGGAGACGATGATAGCAGCGGCCCGTGTGCGACACCCACACGAGGCTCCCACGGTGGTTCATCCTCCGTGCCACGGCGATAGGGTGCCCGTGCAGCTCACGGAACGACTGCGTCGAAAGCTGCGAACTCATTGACTCTGCTGGTGTTCCAGGTGCTGATGCATGGTCAGCAGGAGGCACATGAGCCTGCACTGCATTCATCGCACCAGTGGGCGGTGCTGCTGACGAACTCGCGTCGGGATGAGGAGCATCCTCATCATCGTACCTCGGACCTGGTCTGGTAGAAGCTTTGGACCTTGCACCTTTGCGTAGCGCGGACAAAACATGTAGAGGGCTATCATCACCATCAAAGTCGAAAGACAGAGGATTCGTAGGAGTCCCAGGCGCACCAACTCCAACATGCAAATTGAGCTGGCGATCAAACTGAAAGGAGACATGATCACGAGGGCCAGCGATCTGCACATTGACCTGGCCGCGATCAGATACCCTGCAGCACAAAGTGCGGATGCACAACACAAGCGTCAGCATTGTCACGCACGCAAGGACCAAAGCATGGGGCTGCACAAGCATGTCGATGACAGACACGCCAGTGTCATCGCGGACCCACAGTCCCAAGAACCACACAAGGACCCGGTTAGCCCAGTCAGGAAGATCAGCTCCTGAGTCATCCAAGCCGTTGTCACCGTCAGCATCATCCGCAGCACGACTCAAGGCGCTCACAACAGCGATGACAATGGCCTGAATCATAGGCTGCTCACGGACGCACTCGATGTGGAGCGGACGGCACGCACAGCGTCCTTCATTGCTTGCTTGTAGCGTAGATCAGCAATCTCATCCTCTCCAACAAAGCACTCATGCACAGTATGCCAGCAACCGATGATGTGCAAAAGCATGAGCATGCGGCTCCGAGAAAGGCCTTTGGTGTTCAGGTCGGCCACATCGATCGACGTTGCAACTTTGCGAAGCATGATGATCTTATCCGCAACAAGCTGCTGAGTCCACAAGACTCGGACGCTCAAGTGCCTAACGCGGCCGACGCCGCTTCGCTCCATGATGCCTTTGGCAGCGCTGGCGTCCAGGAAGTGATGAATCTGGGGTGGCTCATCGTCGGCAATGAAAGCGAGCAGCTGCCGAACAAACAAAGCGTCACAAAGTGTAGACGTCGCCGCAAGCAATTCCGATTCCCCTGAGCTCAAAGCAATCACCCTTTGTGTACGGCTAGAGCTGTACAAAAGGCAACCTGCTACGAACACCATCCCTGAGCTAACCGATTTGCGAGAGCCTCGATGCGCCGCCCAGTTGGCGTCCGAAAAAGCTTCTAAGCACAGGATCGGCTGGCTCGGTCTCGGAATCTCGCCGGAAACTCCGTTGTAACAGTTTCTGCGATCAAGCAAGAGACCATGGTGTTGGCCTTCAAGAAGATACTTCAACAGATGCCTCAAAGCAGCCTGCGCATTGCGTGTTGGCGAAGTCATGTAGCTGCTCAACGCACGGATGGCACCCTGACACTCGATCAAATCCACTGCCAAGTACAAAAGAATGCCAATGGCACAGCGGAAAGCCTTTGCATCTGCACACGCGAGATGCTCGCTGTTGTCTACTTCATCAAGCTGCGGCGCATAAGGAGTCTTCTTCGGAGCACTCCGTTCATCGATTTTCATCACAGAAAACAACTTTTCAAAATGCTTGGCCGAGGGTGTTAGCAGCATTTTACCGCCAGCAAGAAGTGTGTGATGCCGCTTCAAGAACGAAATCGTGTCCCCCGGAGCCTCAAGGATGCGGATGCTTACACGATACTTTGATTCAAGCGTGGGCCGGAGGCGTTCAAGAAGAAAGCGCTTGCTGCCTGCACCCAACAAGTCATCGACATGCATCTGCATACTGAACTTGGAAGCTGGCTCGCGGATCAACGAGGGCAGAGCATCACACTTCTTAAAACCCAAGGCTTCATCAAGAAAACTGGAAAATGCCAAGTACCACTCCTTGGATCCGTCCCGCTGTCCAGGCAGGACTCGTCCTAGCACGTAGCGGACACCTGCATGCTGCACAATGACCAGGCGGGTCTGCTTGACGCTAAGGTAAGCGTCACTGATGTCGAGGGCGACCATGACCCAAGGATCATCAGGGTCAGGCTCGTGACACAGGTAGTGGATCGGCAACAAGCGGTTCGAAAGTGCTGTGGAGGCGGGCGAAAAGAGGTCATGACGCTCATTGAGCCACGCATACTCTCGGGCCACGTACCGGCTGCGTCGGTACCAAACTGGGGAGCCACCAAGCTCCTTCTCACGCCACGTGCGCACCATGCGCGTGGTGAGGTGAGTGGCCTCTTGACCTGCGTACTCATCGTTATGAGCTGCTGACTCAGGAAGCAGCACAGTCATGCCTTCTAGCCTAGCAATCTCAACTCCATCAGCAATCACATCCAAAGCTTCGAGCTCCTCCGGAGAGAGCTCTGGCTCAATGTCTGAAGTGCGAGGCCGACACAGCTCAGGAAGCAACTCAGTGTCACCAGACTGATCCTCAAGAAAACTCTGGTCGTAATCCTCGAGCTCATCAAGCGTGTCACCATCAAACGTCAAAGTGACATTTTCATCCTCATGCTCATAGCACACTTGCCTGATGTGCACAACGCAGGGAGACTCCTCTCCAGAGGTTACAAGCAAATCTCCAGCCGGCACTTCATCCGCACAGCAGCCAGGGGCGGTAATCAAAGAAATCTGCCCTTCAAGAGCCATCACTTGGTCATCATCAGACCTGCGGGCGACCTTGGCCGGTCGAGGATTCTCACTGAGGCCCAGAGCCTCAGAAATCAGAGGAGCGGATGAGGCAACTGCCGCCGCCTCGGCAGGAATTGCGGGCATCCCCGCCTCGGCTGAGCTGGGTTCACCTGCGTCAGTGGACAACACATCACCGTGACGATCAGAAAGAGCAGCATCCTCCGTGGCACTCATGCCATCAGAAGGGCTATAGTTGATGGATGTTGGAGACCGCACTGGCGAGTCGGTGCCTGCAATCTGTGAAGGAGAACCTCGAGCCTCGTGAGGAAGAGGCGATTCTGCAGCGGCTGGTGGTGAAGGAGGAGGGCCAACGTAGGCTGGGATAGGCATTGCAACAGGAGCGGCTGGCTTCTTGTGCCCAAGTACAAGTTTCCCCCCTATGGACGAGAGCCCGTGCTCGAAAACACTCACATCAAAGCTGGCTGCAAAGTCCGGATCGAAATTGTCTTCAAACCTTCGCACTGAGCGCGTCACGAAGACGCCACCGACCAAACCCAAAATGTGGGTGTCATTGCCTATGGCTTTTCCCAGCCAGAGGCCGTGGCGCCAGCGCGCCGAGGATTTTCCGTCAGGTTTGAGGTATCCCAGGACCTTTTCTCCAAAGAGACAGATGGTGCCGCTGTACGCCGAATCAGTCACAGCCTCGTACGGAGTAGTGCCATGCACAGGCGTGTAACGGTTGCGAAGCCAGCAGGCATGGGCAAGGGCCCATCCGTAGATCGGATGCAGCGGTGGAAACAACACTTGATCGTCCTTGGCTCCACAAGCTTGCTCGAGATCATGCATAAGCACAGCTGCATGTTGCCTGATGCTCCCAACGACCTGCTCAACCGGACCATTGCTCTGGTGAGACTCCACAGGAGCGGTGTCCTTGGACACGTCGACACCAAGATTCCGAAGGGCCTTCAAGAGACCGGCTTGCACCGCAAGGATAGCGGGTTCATTATCACATCGGAGTCTGAGGGACCGGTGACCCAACCATATCGCAAACCTCGCGGATTCTGTAACCAAGTGACTGAGGCTGCTGCCGCCCTTCTGAGCCGTAGGAATGGCATGCACGGCTTTGGTGTGACGATCATGAAGAAACAAGACCGTCAGGCGGTCCTTGGCTTCTCGAACACCGTCATCGGCTTCCCTCGAGCAGTATCCAAAGTCAAAAGACAAGACAGACCGAGATCCAGGATCATGCGAAGCCTCAGACGGGTGGCGATCCTGTCTTCCGCGAAACTTGACACAAGCATCGCACCAGGGCTGGTACGGTTCATGTGTCAGCACATGTTGTGCACGATCGTGGTCCGAAGGAGCTGCAGGAACTGGTGGTGCATGTGGTGGCCGACTCAGCTCGGCGCTCAAGTTGTGATGGACCTGATGTTCACGCAAAAGATCGGACTCACGCAGATGGCGCACCAAACGCTCCCAACACTGGCTCTTAGACCCAAGCCAAGGCTGACAAGGGCAGCACGCATGACCCGAAGCGAAGAGTTGCGGTCAATCACAACACCGTTCACAGTGACGCTGTCAATGACTTCGCGTTCAGACGGAGCCGCCTCTCCACCTCCATCAGCCGCAGGAGCGACTGGAGCCGCTTGATCAGCACTCGGAGGGAGATCGCTATCACCTTCAAGCTCGCCTACACCTGCACCTTGATCGGCGGCATCTGGCATCGGAACCTCTGGAGCCTCAACAGAACCTGCACCTTGAAGGGAACTTGGCACGTCATCGGAATCAGAGGGACTAAGCCCTAGGCTCTCAGGACTTAGGGAGGCATCGTCATACGCAATGGTGATAACCTGTTCGACAGCCGGGGGCCCAAGCGGCAACGTACGATCCGTCAAAGAGCTCACATCGGCCGCCAACTCAGCAACAGTCCACCGGCCATCTCTGCGCACAAGTGTGGTGCGATACCAAAGCAACTCAGTCAAGGGAATCAGCGTGCTGTCGACATAAGCCTGCCCAAAACTTAGGAGCGCATAGCGTCTGGAACCTATCCTTTGCCACCCTGAAGAGTCAAGACGGAGCAAAGGACCATGCAATGCTGCACTCACCGCCCGCACTGCTGAAGGTAGAGCGTTGAGGACACGCACGCTGCCCGTTGCGCATAGAGATTGCCTCTTCAACCTGACCGGTTCGGACAGATCACCGTTGGTGAGGATGAAGTCACTGTCACCTGAAGTGGAGGGGATTACGTAAAATCCTGCCTTGTACAATTTGCCCAAAGAAAGGAGAGGGCAAGTAACTCCTCCGATCAAGAACTTTTCACGGAACCTGATGGACCCAACACGAACCTCTGCAATGCGTATGCCTTTGGACTGCAGCAAACGGCCTGAAGCATCGACGAACCTCTGAGCCGACGATGGAGCAGGATTACCAACCTGGGAGTACGTCTCAGGGAGTGCACTGATATCCGCTCCTGAGTCCACGATGATGTCTTCACCGTTGACACTAGCAAGAGCACGGACACTGCCATGCACATACATAGACGGCTTGAGAGGCGTTACCTGATCGGCATCACAACTGACCTGATGCACGGGGCACTTGACGGAATCTGCCAGGGATCTGGACTGATCTGCAGAGCACTTGAAGGAATCTGCACGGGATCTGGAATGATCTGCATGGCACTTGAAGGAATCTGCAAGGGATTTGGAATGATCCGCATGGCACTCCAGCTGCTTGGCTTCACACAGCTTCAAGAGCACATCACTCGGGAGGCTCAAAAAAAGCTCGTACTCACAGATCGTATCCCAAGCGTTGCAACGAACCTCAGAGGGGTCACTGATCGAAAAGTGCTCAACTCGTTCCATGCTGCACTGAATCATGCAAACGCGGGTGTCTCCATCAAGAAACTCCTCATCACACTCATCAAAGGCTGTAAGGTCTATCTCCGCAAGCCTGGCAACCCGACCCTTTGCACCAACCTGAGAGGCACTCTGAGACGGAGTCACAGTCGAGACGGTGGATCCCGACTCCTCGGACACAGCCTGCACCTTGCCTGCCTTCAAATCGGCCTTGTACTTCCTGCAATCTCGCTTCCAGTGGCCAGATTTGTTACAGTACAAGCACTTATCAGCTGCAGGCTTGTCACCTTGTTTGCCTTTGGACTGACCTTTGTCCTTGCCATGATGACCTTTGCCTTTGTTGTCCTTGCCATGCTTTCCTTTGCCCTTGCTGTCCTTGCCTTTCGTTTTGCCTTTGCCCTTCTTGCCTTTGCCGGCAACACGGTCGATTTCCATAGGAATGGCACCATCGCCAGTCCCTGCACCTGAACCCTGCGCAACATCACCAAAGTATGAAACGCCTTGCCACTTGAACTGCTGCCTTTCGATGCGCAAGACACAGTCCCTCACTGCAGCATACGAAGCATCCTCCGGAAGGGTGGCATGAACCTGATTTCTCGAAGCAGCGAGCAAACAACGCAAAAGGAGCCCGTCTTGAGCTCCTCCTGAAGAAGCTGTTGCGAAGCGCTCTCGTACTCTGTAAAAACCCGTTCAAGCTCAAGAATCTGTGGAAACATTGCCTCGCCAGATTTAAAAGCACTGACCTGTGTCAGGGCCGTCAAGATGCCAAGGCTGCGTGACTTGCTCTGCGGTGCATACAAGGAAATGAGCTGCCGAAGGGCTTCATACCCACAGTTCCCAGAGACCGACTTGATCACAAGAAACCCACGTCCCTTTACCAACACCGAGAGCAAAGCGAAGAGCTGCCGCGAGCGCGAGACGATGTCTGTGGCTGCGGGAGAAATGTTCACCTGCCGGTGCAAGTTTGATTTCAGCTGATCGATCTCTTCTCCGAACTTGGGGTCTAAGACATTCAAATACTGCTCAAGAGACCAAAGCCATGAAGGCCAAGCAGAATGCTCTTGTTCCCTCGTTGCAGCACGGAAAGGCTCTGGACGGGGCATGATGCGAGACATGTCTTTGCCTGTAAGTCCCGACACCGAAGAATCACTGGCACTGCGCTGCCCTATCACCTGACCCAAGAGAGCTGTTGTGTTGCCCAGTTGATGCAACAACGCGGTCACCTGATCGCTCGAGACAGGACTGCCCGCAGCGGGCCAAGGATTACTAGACACAGTCTCATGTATCGGCTGCAAAGGAGGGAGCACTGGACCCTCAAGGTCGTCATCGTCATCATCTGGCACAGCTTGTGCCGCAGGCAATGCAGCCATCACTGCAAGCTAAGGACGAGAGGCGCTACTTTCACCGAAGAAACAAACTCCAAGTTTGAAAAGCCTGGGCCCTTCCAAAGAACCCCGAAAGCTGCACGTGTATGTTGCTCGTTGTGCTACGTGTAGCAAGGGAGTAAGGTTTCGGCTCCCAGGAGACGCTTGTCGGCCAGACCCAAAGGAATGAACCGGTAAGCGCTCCGCTACCATGCTAATTTTCACTCAAACACAAGCGCCTGCGGAGTACACAAGTCAGCACATTGGGCTCAAATGAATTACGGAGCTCGCACAAATAAAACAAGTACTCAAGTAAATACCGGCCAGGAAAACAAATGGAAAATACGTGTACATACAGTACGAGTACAAGGCGTGCAAAGTTTTGCACCTTCCCGAGGACCACCATCCGCTGCTCCTGGTAGTAGACTAGCTCCACTCGCTAGCTCCACCGCCGTCGTTTTTCCCCTCACACGTCGCGCTGGTAGTAGATCAGGTGGTGAGGGCGCCGGTTCCGAAGCGCCATCCGCTCCTGGGTCACGCTCTTCAAACTGACGTAAATTCGTAGTGAACCACAGGTTGCCCTCATCGGTGTACACCATGTGTCCGCCGGGCACAGAGCGAGCTGGGCCAAGATAGACCCCTCCAATCCACTTTGGTTTGAGGTCCGTGCCGCCAGCACCATAGCCTTTCCTCCTCGTAAGCACCCGCGAACCGAATCGAGCTGCTGACGGAAACTTCCGACCCATAGCCAACGCCTGGTGTTGGGAAACAGCCGTCTCCGCCGCCATAGCCCACCATCCCTTGATCACCTCGTCATCGGCACCGCTGAGTTCTTTAGCTTGAGCAAGCAACACTCTCATGCGCATCTTCACGTAACCCACTGCCCTCTCAGCTGTCCCGTTCTGGGACGGATCATCTCCCTGGGTGCGAGACAATTCAATGTCCCTCGCTGCCGCCCAGTGTTCAAAAGCACTGGATTGATATTCACGCGCACGGTCCATGTGTATTCTCCCCAGCGGAAAACCAGCACTACGCAGCTGTATGTAGAGCTCTTGGATGGCCTTCAAAGTCTCTGCCTTCTTGCGAGACCTCATAGGTTTGGCCACATACACCGAAACGAACTCCAGGGGCTTAGCGAGCTCCTTCAAGGCCTCAATCTCACCATCACTTCCAGGATCATCATCAGGAGGTCCTGGCTCCACATAACCAACTCCACCTTCAGGTTCTTCGGCAACTAAAGGAACCTCCTCTTCTGCTGCTTCAAGGTCTTCTCCTAACCAATCTTCTCCATCATCAGGACGAGGAACGACCTCAGCTGCAGACGGCCCCTTCGCAGGCTCCTCCTCAGGCGTTGTTCCCAACAACTTGGGGTGTCGATAGCAACCAACAAGCAGGTACTTGTAGCCCCCTGCTCCAACATTCCTGAAAGGTCCCGCTGTATCAATGGAGAGGCAATAGGCGGAGGGATGGGAAACCTTTCGGTGAGGTTTGCCACTCGCCCTTTCAATGCAAATCCGGCAATCCTTGCGATAAGGTAGGTGATCATGTTGGACGTGCAGCTGCCAATCACGAACATTGAACTTGTTCAACTGCAAGGGCTCAGGGTCTCTTAACCAAGACCGGTTGACCAAAGAGGAAAGGAAACCCTCGTGATTGCGAAGGCCCACCCATGCTCTAACCGCAAAAGCCACGTGCGCAACCAACTCCAACGGCCATATCGACCCTTGGTCCCGAGAGCCTTCAGGACCTAAGCAAGCCACGTGCGCAACCAACTCCAACGGCCATATCGACCCTTGGTCCCGAGAGCCTTCAGGACCTAAGCGTGCTTCGCGTAGATGCCAAAGGTTCATATTGCCCCCCAGGATCACCTCCTTCTCGTTCACTGAACAAGGAACTTCTCCCATCAAAGAGTCCATTGCAAAGGCCTTCCACAGAGGGGTGTCGAAGAAGGAAAGCCTCCCTCCTCCCGGTCCCGCAGGATGCTCCAACAGGAAACCCACATGCGGCTTTACCATAGTTCTCAGACCGCCGGCACGCCACAAAGCTGTTCTGCCTTCCTGGGCCATGTAGAACAACAACATCATCTTCACAATGAGCTGGGTCTCCTTGAGGTGCTGGCCACCGATAGGCTCACCTTGAACAACCGTGGGGAAAGTATGTCTCGGGGGTCCACCAATGATGGCCTTCACCTTGCCGTTGAGGGCCCCCCATGCTAGCACCTTAAAGATGCCATCTCGCTGTAACAGGTCCATAGATCGCGAGGCCGTGAAGTCCACATCCACCATGACTTCATCGCCAGATAGAGCCTCACTCCAAAAGGACTTCTTCACTGCATCACGCCGCTTGGCTTCTTCACCTCTCTCATCTCCAGAGAACAAGTGGACGACCCAACCATCACTATGATAAAGGGCCTTGCGCTTCGCTCGGGACCACGGAGTTCCCTTCAGCAGGTTCCAACCATCACGGTCACCACGCGGAACTCCTTCAGGGACTCCAAGAAGTACTTCTGCACTCACTGTAGAAAACACCGGGTTCTTGTGCAAAAGGCCTGCCATATGAGTCCGATCACCGCCTTCACGGGCAGCGCACAAATGCTGCTCCCAAGTCCAGGCGCCTTAGCCATTGTCCCGTATGGTCTTGATCTGCTTCTGAAGGTCCTGGACAGTCTGCTCAAACGAGGCCATCCGCTTCTGTTCCAACTCCGCAATGAGGTCAAGAGCCTGGGTCACAGGGAGAACCGGGCAGTGTCCACGAATGCGCACTTGAAGCCGCCCATGTACCGGGTGCACCACTGTCAGCTTGTTTGGCGTCCAAGTCACCCGGCATCCAAGAAGTCGCACCAACTGCCCCATGGGAAGTATCGTCCCCTCACCGCCGTACTCGCTCAGCAAAGTCCCTCCGCGGTTTTGAGGAATCGACCGCTCCTCCCCCATTACCAAAGCCACCCTCACACGTCGTGCATCTTCGAGCTCCACCGCAGAGCTTGGAGGCCGGAAGACATGGGCATGGGTAGCACTATCCAGCAGCGCCTCCTCCTCTTCTGGTCCATCCAGCCTGGCCAACGTGGTAGAGCTCAGTCTCGTCTCGTACCAGGACACCGCACTCGCAAAGGAGGAAGTAGCCTCACAGGGCTCACGCACTCTCATCACCTTCAGCCTCCGCACTTCATCAAGCTGCTTCAAAATCATCTCCAAAGGGTCCACCGGAGCAGCCGGTGCACTTGTTGCCGAGGAGTTCGCAGCCGCTATCGACTTCAACATTTTGTTGGTCTCGTTCAATATTTCGGTGACCTTCACCGTGTCGATCTTATTGGGCCCTCCGCCTGCCGTGGTGGTAGTAGAGGAAGTTGTTGCGGGCGCCGGATCCGCGGGTGCTTCCGCTGTTGTACTGGTACCTCCTGAACCCGAGGGAGCCGCCGTAGCCTGCATAGCTTGGACCTTGGGACCCGGAGCTGGAAAGACGTAGTAGGACTCGAACCGCCGGCTGTGCACTCCTTAGCGCGGTGTTGCTTCGAGCCGCAAAGTAAACAACATTTACCACGGTTGAGTCCAGTCCACACATGTTGGAAATTGCAGTTCTTCCCGTTCCGACAGCCGTTGTCTGAGCTGAACCAGGAGCACACCTTTCTGTTCGGAGAGGCCTTCGGCTTCGCCTTGGACTCCGGTGTAGGCTGTAGCCCTTTCAAAGCTGTTCCGCCCGGTGCCGGAGTGGTAGCCGTAGAAGGGGAAGTCGTTGTAGTGCCTCCGGTCGAAGACGCACCCTGCTTCCGTGCCACTGCTCCAAGCTGCTCCAACTCTGCAAGCAAGTGTTGCAGGTACCTCATAACATTCTCCTGGGTGGGACGGGTGTCGATCTGCAGCTCCGTCCTCGCCAAAGCCAAACGGAACTTGAAGTCGGCATTCTGCTCAGCTGTTCGTCGAACTATCACTGACAACGACTTCACCTGCAAAGACTCATCTGGGAGCTTGACCCCCAAGTCCGCGGCCCGCTGCAGCAGACGGTACCACCTGCGAATGGCTGCCGTGGCCTCCGCAGGGCTTGCTGGGGACTCTGTCACGTCCAACTGCTTCAGCAACTGAGCTCGGTCCTGAGCTCCTCCAGGCTGGAAGATCAGCATCAACCTGCAAAGAATCTGGTGCACACCCTGAACTCTGTAGGCCACCAGATCATCACGTACCCCTTTGGAAAGAGAGGCTAGGACCAACGCCGCAACCTTCCGCTCCAGTTTCTTGTACTTGTCCTCCTTGAGCTCCGGGGTGAGTGTTGCAGTCACGCTCAACCGTCTCACCGGTGACAATGTCTGGTACTCCGCAACGCAGCCTGAGCCACCGCCAGTGTCTGGGCCCACCATTCGCCTGCTCCTAAGCAAGCGTGCCAATCTGCTGCTCGGCCAAGTACAGATAGTCCTGGAAGTCGATGGCCCCGGTCTCCGCGGTGTACTCCGGAAGCTTCACCAGCTCACTCACCGCCTTCGGCTCCAAATCGATCACCTCGCTTCGCTGTTTCAGCAACACCTGCTGCAACTGGCTCATTCCCGTTATCAGCACGTCCATCGGTGTAGGTGTCGCCGAGCTCGGTTCCACAGTAGCCCTTGCGCTCGCATTCTGCTCCGCCTCCGGAGGTCTATAGGGAGCTTCAGCGGGAGGAACGCCAAGTCCACCGCCTCCTAGACCAGAGACCCTATCACCACAAGGCCCATCCTTCTTCGGCAACCATCCAAGCTGTGCACCTAGCAGACCATTAGTCGTAGTAGGAGAAGAGGAGCGCTTAGAGCTACGACCCAGCGGCGACGTCTTGCGATCCAAACTTGAAGTCCTAGGGGCTCTCAGACCACCTGTGGGACCCTGTTCCCCCTTCGGTTCCTGAGACACAGAGCGCAATCTCGGACCACCGCTAAGACTCGGCATCGAAGACAGACCACCACGACCTTCACGTACGTCTGAATAAGGACCCCAAGGTTCTGTAGGACCCTCACGAACACCAGCTTGATGCCCTCCTAGTACTCCCTGACTAATAGGCTGCTGATAAGCCCGATGCCCCCGAGGTTCTTCTGGACTCTCACACCAGCTTGATGCCCTCCTGGTACCTCAGAACCAAACTGCTGAAAATAAGCTCGATGCCCCCGAGGTTCTTCCGGACTCTCAAGAACACCAGCTTGATGCCCTTCTGGTACTCCATGACCCAAAGGCTGCTGATAAGCCCGATGCCCCCGAGGTTCTTCTGGACTCTCACGAACACCAGCTTGATGCCCTTCTGGTACTCCATGACCCAAAGGCTGCTGATAAGCCCGATGCCCCCGAGGTTCTTCTGGACTCTCACGAACACGGGAATGATGCCACTCTGGTACTCCATGACCCAAAGGCTGAATGCTAGCCCGATGCCCCCGAGGTTCTTCTGGACCCTCACGAACACCGGAATGATGCCCTTCTGGTACTCCACGACCATTGTCAACGAAACCAACACGGGGACCGTCTGGAAACCCTTGGCCATCTCGCTCACCTTCGAACCTTCGTGTAGTGCGGAACTCCATTTCCCCACGAAGACGACGATTTTCCTCCCTTAACTCATCCATGTAGCGCTGGTGCATCCCCAAAGCCTCCGTCACCTGTCTCCGTACTTCCTCCTGAACCACCTCACGCGGTATGGAGTTGGATGAGCCCGGATCCGTGGAGGGCCTTTCAACAGCCTGCGTTCCATGTAAAAGCGGCGCCCTTTGTAACCGTCCTTCCATAACCCTTCTCGCACCAGGGCCAAACAAAGGAGGATCTGGTTCTCCCGGAGGAACATCAGCGGCCTGGGGCGCTCCTTCACCAAAAGGCGACTGTCGACGATGCGGAGACTGAGGCGCCGAAGTAGTGTGCTGCAAACGTTCTTGGCTAACTAACTCAGCTCGCTCCAACCACTTGTTGCCGGGTCAAGGTAGTTCTCGTCTCCACTGCTCCCGGCACATGCGTCCGCAAGAACTCGCCCAAGCGGGACACCCAGGGAAACGTCGTAGGAGAAAACGCTGCGGGCCTCGGTGTGCCACTGACCATGGGCCCACGCACTTCAGTTAAACTGTAAAACCCTGAGCGGTCACGCTTTTCCTGCTTGAGTCAAAAGGCGCTTCAAGTAAATAGTAAATATAACGCAGCCTGGGCTCACCAAAGGTGTGGGGCGTTCCTACGTACAGAATTTAACACCCTGCCTCGAAGTCCTTGTGCTGTACTTCGATCGGTCCGCGGTCGGGCATACCTCCGCCCGTGACTGCATAGGCTTTGCCATTGCGAGTCCTTGGGTTAAACACTCCGTGCAACCCACCTTACCATCCCCCAATTAGGGAGGTGTGTCAGACCGTCCATGTCCTGACATTCGTACAGTAACAAGTACTTCGTCCATGTGAAACAACTTCCACACAAACTTCCTGCGTTAGCGCTCTTCCTTCTTTTGCGCTTTCGCTGCTGTGTGTTCCGAGGTGAAACTTTTTCAGTCTTGCCTACACTCACTGCTCTGTCTCATACTCGTACACGATGTAGGGCTTACTGACTTCCGAACAACGTACGTTCCTCCGTACTGTCTGGCGTACCGGGATCAACTTCCGATCCTTGGGCGCGTTCTCCTGACGCTTCATACGCCTCATTGCATTGCTTGCAATACTCTTCATACGATTCGAGTGCTTCTGGGGGTAGCATCTTGTTCCCCATCTCTTCCACGCTTATCATCTTTCCACGGTACTCAATCATCTCCGGTTCCTTCTTCTTCTCCGGTTCTTCCTGGGCTTCCGGTGAAACAATTCTTCCCAGGGCTTCCATTCCACCAACGTAGTTTTCCTCACTTATCATGGGCATACGCGTTCCGTCCGTATGTACGATTGCTGGTGTCACCATCATCGCTGCTCTTCCACGTCTCTTCAGGGATCCTTTACCTGTACCGCTCTTTGGTACTCCGGCATTCCATGCATGCTTCGCATCTTCCGTTACACGGGTCTCTTCTTTTTCCGTGGCATCCTCTGTCACAGTTCTGTCGTAACTTCTCCGCCACTGTTCCATTGCATACGTTTTGATGCATTCCGTGCAAGAACATTTCTGGTGGTTTCTCTTCTCCCTTGTACACTTCCTGATTCCGCACCAGTGACATTGTTTTGTGCATCCTCCAGCTGACTCTACTTCGTAGTCAAGCTCCATCACTTCCCAGTCGCTTTCATCTGGGATTGGCGGCTCTACGCGTCCACGGCATTTTCGCATGCTTCCTTCTGGCTTCGTCTCCGGGAAACAAACCCAACAGTGTCTGTAGCCCTCCGCTACAGCTTCACTTTCTTCTTTCCAGATCCATTTGCCAGAACGCATCTGGCTTCCTTGAACGTGCCAACATGTTCCCTTGTGAAACACACGGGCCTTTGACCCTGTCGATATCTTCACCATACCGACTCCTTTGATCTGGTCCACCGTGCGCATACACTTCTTCCACATACTGATTGCGTACGGGGCTGCGAGTAGCATTACGCATACGATCATACAAACCTCGAACTTCGTAAATCCATCCATGGCGTCCATACCTTTTCCAAAGGTTTCACTACTCTCTGCTCGGGCGTTCGCTACGTCCTCCTTGAGCATTGCTGCGGTGATAGGCTTCATCAGATGAAAAACCTGTATTGCTCTTATAAGGTTCTTGATTTGTCCACTTCCAACATACTCCTTGAGCTTCTTTTCCTGTTCATGCTTTTCATACTCCTTCTCTCCGGTGTACTCCAGGTTTCCTTCTTCATCGTACTCTACTTGGGACAAGTGATACAGTAGGAATGACCTTCGGGCATACGCCAACTTCTTGGTGTTCAGATCCGCTACATTGAGCGCGGTTCTTACCGTTCCAAGTTTGACAAGATTATCTCTCACCCAATCTTGCAGTTGACACAACCTAACGTCCACATGCTTCAGACGTCCAACTCCTCTTCGTTGACTCCACTGTCGTGCAGATGAGGAATCGCACCGTATCTCCACGCGTACGGGCGCGTTCACTAGGAACTCGAATAGCCTTCCAACTAGAATAGCTTCTCCGCAAGTTCCACTTAGTGCATACAACTCTGCTTCACAGCTTGATGATGATGTGGCTTTCTGGGTCCTCGAAAATGACAACACTTGTACTCCATTTAGTACAATGATTCCTGATGATGTACTCTTCCTTCGAGCTCTTTCAGGTGTCTTCAGGCTTGCCCAATCACTGTCCGAATACGCTTCCACAACATGTCCTGCATCCTTGGCAATTTCTTCATCCTCGTGGCCATTGAGCTTCGTAATCAACCGACTTCCGATTTCGGTATACGGCAACAAAGTCGCCCTTGTGGCTGTTCCACTCAGATACAAGATCAAGTGCTTCAGACACTTCAGTGCCTGCACTGTCGGCTTCGACATACTTGATGCCAAACACTTTGAGGCATACTGAATGTCTGCCGACTCTTCGCAGGCACCACGCGGACTTGCTACAGGCAAATGGTTCCCGGACTCTATCCGCCGGGACCCGATGAGTGATCTGGAGGAGCGACTTCATCGAGCCCTGCACGCCGACTACCGCGCCAAAGGCTGCGCCCAAGACCAAGCCCAAGGCCACGCCAAAGGCGCCACAAGCCACGCCAATCGGCCCAGGCTTGGACAGGTTCATGAAGGCAATGAAGGCTGCCCAGCGTGCAGGGCAGCCCGAGGAGCCAGCACGGTCCGAAGAGCCGGCGGTGCGGTCCGAAGAGCCAGGGCAGCCGTTGCAGTCCGAGGAGCCGGTGCAGTCCGAGGAGCCGTTGCAGACCGAAGAGCCGTTGCAGGAGCCGGCGCAGTTGGAGGGGCCGTTGCAGACCGAAGAGCCGGTGCAGTCCGAGGAGCCGGTGCAGTTGGAGGGGGCGTTGCAGACCGAAGAGCCAGCGCAGTCCGAGGAGCCGGTGCACCCCGAGCCAGAGTCCGAGGAGCCTGACTGGAGCGACGGTGAGTTCGAGGACGAGCCGGCTCCTCACGCGGATCGGATCAACAGTTCGCGGAGCTCTGGAGGACCTGAACCTCACGGAGTACAAGCTCTTCTGGGAGAGGGTGGACTGCGTGACGATCGTGCAAGGTACAAAATAGATCCGAGTCCAGATCTAAACCGTTTTGTCTCTTCAGCACTCAATTCTTTACTCCGGTCTTCCTTTACCAGATCCATGTGCTCTGGTGTGGCCTTGCTCTTCAACTTTCCAAGGTCATACAACTCAATGAGCTTCCGGACATACTTCTCATTTGGTTGGACAACTATTCCTTCCTGAATGAAGACTAGCAATTCGTCATCTACATGGATAGAGATACACAGCTTCCTTGTGGTGTGTCTAGCCAGTGCGGGTACGTGAACTGAGAATATGAATCCAAGTTTCTCCAGTATACTCCGCAAGTGTTCATACCATCTTGTTGCTGCGTTACGCTGGCCTGGGAGGCATCTCTTCAACCTCCACAGCACTCCTTCCTTCAGATTGGCAGCTCGCTTCGTCCAATCGCTGATTGTGATTAGCACCTCTTCTTGCTGCGGGACCTGAAGGTACGCGTCCTTTATATCTAGGACTACTACGACCCACTTGTACACCAGGTGTAACAACAAGACTAGGCGCGACGCGGCGTTGCTCGCCGTCGGGCTGAATGTCTCAGCCGTAGAACTCGCACCTGCCCTGTACTCCCTTGCCACTATCCGGCAACGTCTTTTCCACCTGTTGTCGCGAAACCTCCAGTCGTAGACTTCACGCAAATCCATGCGTTTTTCGTTCCCTGTTGCGTTCGCCTCCATGATTTCTTCGATTACTCCTAGCTTGCTAAGGCGATTTAGCTCTTCCACTGCTGCTTCTTGATCCAAGGCATCCAGCTCTTCTGGACTCAATTCCGGTGGTGTTTCTCCTTGGTCATTCTTGGGAACTTCTTCCATCTCTTCTTCCATGAGATCTTCATACTCTACATCTTCTCCTTCTACTGCTGTGAGATCCTCGTGTTCATCCCAATGGAATGGGTCATCTTCCTGAGATACCCTGCCTGCGAACAAAGGCGGGTAGATTCCTTTGGAGGGTGATGATGGCGCCGATGGTTCTTCACGTGACTTCTTTGGAGATCCTTCAGAGTCAACTCCTTGTTCTCCTACCACTGGTCGCTTTCGCAAATCTTCCAGCATAGTGTCATCGCTAACACGTACTTGGTCTCCTTCAGGCTCTCCAGTTTGTACATCGTGCATCGAACTTGAACTCCGGGAATGAGAACTCGATCCCGTGCTGGCCCTGCCTCCGTCTGAGGCCCTGTCTCCGCTAGAGGCTCCACTTGTGTCCAGCATATCCAATAGTTCTTCCACTTGTTCTTCTTGAGATTGTCCTCGATCTTCCATACGAACTACAGGTTCCTGCGCTGTTTCTTCTTCGGCGATACTTGCCAACGCTGGGGCTGGTAACGGCTGTTTACTGAATGTTCCTTTTGGTTTCCTGGGGTTCCATGGAGTTACACTCAGCTTCAGTAGGGGTTCTTTTCTCCATCCAGTGGCAATACGTCTTACCGATCCAGTAGCCAAGACTCCGTCTTCAACTCCTACCAAATGCATATCCTGGGAGTTCTTACCTAGATAGATTCCTCCAATCCAATTCACTGTTCCTTTTCTTCTCGGGCTTCTTCAGAGCATATACATACTCACCGAATGGGGCTATCTTTCCGAGGTAAGGTCTGCCCACGACACTTTCATAGGGCGTTGAACCTATCGCAGCGTGTCTGTGGTACCTGTTCAGCAACCACGACGCATGGCACAATCCCCAGGCCCAAACTGAATGGCCTTCGGGAATCTCTATACCAAGCTTCTTTTCCGCTGCTCGTACTAAGCATACTGTCTGGTTCCTCACCGTCTGAATAAACCGTTCCACTCTTGCCGTTCTTCCTTTCTGGTACGGCTTGTTGTTCTGATCGTGAGTCTTCCGGTTCATCTTTCTCCGAGTCTCCACGATTGCAGCTATCAGAGACAGCATTGCCTCTTCTGAATCTCCAACGAATCCTAGTTCGTCCAAATGTCCAAGACTGTGTACCCA